GATTGTAAAAGTTGGTAAAAATCTTCTATCTCCTCTTCCTTGGCTCTGGTTGTTGGTGCATATATTTGAATGATAGTCTCTGAAAACCCTCTGGAGGGTCAGCTATAAGCTGGTTCCTACTTGATGGTATACAACAACAATAACATAACCACAAACAATTATAGTGGCACAGAGGTAAAAGAGCCTGGGTGCCTATTGAAAGGTTGGCAGTTCAAATCTGCCAATAACTTTAAAAGAAAGAGATGAGGTATAATATGTTTCTGTAATGATTTACAGTCTTGGAAACTCCATAGGTCAGTTCTACTCTGTTTTATAAGAGTTGTTATGAGTCAGAACTGATTCAGTGGTCATAGAATTTTTTTCCCTCCATTTAATCTCACATAGATTATATCACTAATAAATCCTAGATCACACTGTGTATCTACATGGTATCTATGTGGCTCACGTCACCTCCGAAAAACCCTCAGACCTTTCTACCTCAGGCAGTATCGCTCAGCATTCTACCCTCATCAGAGTATATTTTGTCTTTAATTCTTTTTACAGCTTGATAAGTGTATTTGGGGGGTGAGGGGGAGGAGATTCTTCTTTTCACATATTAGACTCCAGGAAGGAAGAGGGGTTTTTTAAATCTTTTCTTTATTACTATAACTTCAATGCCTGGAATGGTGACTCACAGGAAAATGGTGCTAACTAAATGTTTATTAGTTTAAACAGAAATAGGGACCCTTTAGATATTTGTGATAGGTGACTGCAATTTCCTTAAATCTTCTCATTGCTGACTATTAAACCCTGCCTCTGAATCCACCAGTAGTGGGATTCTCTTCTCTGGTGGTATAATTCTTAGGGTGTTTCCCTGCTAACCAAAAGACTATGTCTCCGGTCATTTGAATTAACCAGCTGCTCCTTGGGGGAAGATGAACAGTCTACTTTTAAGATTCACAGGCTCAGAAACAAAGTGGAAGGTTGTTCTGAGTCAGGACTGACTTGATGGCCGTGAGTTGGAGGTGTGATTTTTTTTTTATTCTAAGCTGTGTGACATGGGGTAGGTTATTTAACATTCCTAAGTTGACTCTATCTGTTTCCTCCCGTGAACAAGGGGAATCTGATGCCTTGCAGGATTGCTGGGGGCTTCAGTGAGACGAAGTCGTGGATACTCAGTGCACAGCCTGTGTCATGAGTGGCTGTGCCCCCCTCTCCCTCTTGGCTCCAAGCCCTTTTCCACCCTGGCTACCAGTTCCTGGATGCTGTCCTGTCCAGAGTGCTGACCTCTGAAACATGTGTCTGGCCTTTGGGGGTGCTTGAACCGGGACAGTGGAAACAACTGGGAAGCAGCAGAAATTGGCACTCTTTCTCATCACGCTCACTTCGTCAGGAGGGAAGTCGAGGGAGAGAAGGCAGGGGAGCAGAGCGTGACAGGGCCTCACCAATCTCTTTCTTCTCCACAGTGTTTTCTGCTGTAGAACCTGAGAACATGGCCAAGCCTGCACAGGTAAGGAGCTTCTCCCTCGTGAAGGTTGTGCCCTGCCTTCCTGCACCCTGGAATCCCACTAGCCTTAGAAGATCATCTGTAAAGATCCTGCATACCATCAGCTTCAAAAAGAAACAGGAGATTTCTTAGGCTCAGTTTATTCCCATTCCAAACCACAGCTCTTTCAGATGCAAGTGACTGATGATGGCCCACACAACTTTTTTCCCTTCATTTTTATTTATTCCTATAAGTAGTTTCATTTATATTATATTTTGTTTATGTATATTGTGGAGGTTTTACCTCCCTTTCAGTCATCCTACTAATAACTTCCTTCATGAAATTGTGTAAGCTACTATTTCATGCCTCATGCCCTAATATCCCCCTTTTAGAAAGTCAAGTGCTAATTTTCCCATCCCTATCAAACCAGTACTCTGAGGAAACGAGTGTGTCCTTTTTTCTGTTCAACTTGGCATATTTGAGCATTTCCACCCACAAGTAAAGAACCCACAACATCTTAGGCGGAAAAGAATGTGCCTATCCTGATTTGAGAAGCCCAGGGCTTCAGTTCTGGCAGAATCCAGGGGCTCAATTGATATTCTTGGGATTCGTCTGGGCTTTGTCTGCGTGGATTCCCTTCAAATAAGCCCTTCCCTTGCTTTAAGAGGTGAGCTGCTAGCAGTGCTAGACTTTCATCCCACTGTCTTGGCAGTCCCAGGGGAAATAACATACCCTATTCCGAACTAGTCTACAGAAAATCCTAGGTTTAGTTTCTCATTGGCTGATTCTGTATAACACACACTTTCATGGAGCTAGGGAATAGTCAGCTTCACCTGAAGTGCGTGGCCCACAAATGGTTCCTCCTGAAAGCAGAGTGCACACTAGACATGTGAAAGCCAAAGCAAGTCCTCGTCATACTCATTTGGGATTAAATTTCCCCAAGGAAGTGCCGAGAGAGGCTAACTTTAATATACTGTGCTATATGACCAGTTTGCTGAGCAGTAAAGTTTGAAGTACAGCACAGCTCTTACTCCCTCTGGGCCAGGATAGAGTTCCATCCACAGTTAGAGGAACCCTCCATGCCAGAGTTTGCCTGAAGGATTCCTGTTGTCTAGTGTTATTCATTAAATTGGGCTACCCCACAATGTGTTTTAGAAATCCCAACTGCTATAAACCCAACCCTACCTATTGCGGTTAAACTTATTTTGACTTAAAGTGACCCTATAAGAAAGTAGAAAAGCCACATAGGGTTTCCAAGGCTGTGATCGTTATGGAAGCGGACTTGCATGTCTTTCTCCTTAAGAGTGGTTGGCAGGTTCGAATTGCCAACCTTTCTGTTAGAAGCTAAGCATTTTAACCACTGTGTTATCAGTGCTCCTTCCTAACGCCGATAATAGGATTATAATTACATTTAGGGATGAGTTTTCTTTGTTATATTAATGAGAGAGTTTTAGTGTAGAATGTGCCTTAAGTCTTTTTTTAGATATATTAAGTGCAGATTAGGCATAGAAAAGGGAACTCTAGGTGCATAGTGGCAAGAAGCTGCGCTGCAATCCCGAAGACTTACAGTTCAAGGCCACCAGCTGCTTCACAGGAAAAGGATGGACAATCTCCTCCCGTGAGATTTACTGCCTCTGAAAACTCACTGGAGGGTCAGCTGTGGGTGCGTTCCAACTCTCCAGTACACAACAGAACAGGCATAGAGAAGGAGAGGTGGGCAAAGAGAGACGCCAAGTGATGTAAAAATCACCAAGGCTCAGAAGAGCCAAGGACTTGACTCCAAGGAGAGAGAGCCTGCCCCCAGGGCCAGCACCCTGGATTCTGATTTCTAGCTCACGTACTTGTCATAGCCACTTGCGCATTCCTGTTATTGTTGTTGTGGTTGTTGAGTATCATCAAGTTGAAACTGACTTATAGCTGACCTTCCAGCAAGTTTTCAGAGGCAGTAAATTGCACAGGCGGAGATTGCCTGTCTTTCTTCCACAGAGCAGCTAGCTGGTGGATTCAAACTGCATACCTTCGGGTTAGCAGCGCAGTTCCCTATCGCTTAATCACCAGATTAGTTGAATGTAGAGTCAGAATTGTCCCGTAGCTGACCCTCCAGTGGGTTTTCAGAGGCAGTAAATTGCATGGGAGTTGATTGCTCATCTTCTTCCCACGAGTGGATTAGAATCGTGAACCTTTGCATTGGCAGTGCACTCCCTTAACATTAAGCCACTAGAGCTTCCCAGATTTAGGCCTTTTGAGTGGTGTTTTGTGTTATGTGGTATAGTATCCATGTTGATGTTGTTGTATGCCGTTGAGTCACCTGCGACCCATAGTAACTCAGTACAACAGCTCTGGCCCCTGCCCTATCCTGAGCGGTCTCACTGACTCTGACACACCTCACCTCATGGCTCCAGTTAGCACTGCCAATCCTTACCCTTAAAGAAGTTGTAGCCAGTCTACCCACAAAATGTACTGGGCCCCTTTTATCCATTGACAAGCATGCTTTACACAAGTGGCCTGTCTGACCATGAGGAGAGAGTGTTCGTGGTTGTGGGCAAAAGTCCAAAGAGGAACTCTTGCTGTTTCCATGTCTTTCATGTAGTCAGCACAGAACTACTTCCTGAGAGATATTCAAATTACAGGGTTCTTGGTGAGCCAAGTGGAAAAGAGCAGACCCGGGGGATCGAAGCAGCCAGAACCTAGGGAACAGAAAGACCTGTGTGTGCCTAGTCCAGTGCACTCAGGCCAGGCCGTCTGCCTGGCCGACCTGTGGTCTCTCGTTGTCATGACCTAAGACCTTGTAGAGCACCTGCAAGCAAGCCTCCCAGGGTGTGAGGGCCTTAGGACCTCTCCTTCCATCTCTTGACTTGAGCTCCCAGGGCCAAGTGATTAGTGCTGGGTGTGAGACAGGAGCTCAGACATGTGAGGGGACCCTGCACGTGGAAGGATGGAGAAAGTTGCCTTGAGTCGCATGACGTAGAGTGAAGAAGAGCTACTGGGTGAAAAGTGTGTCTTCACACTTTGGAGATACAGTGGTTGCGTTCTGGACTTATGCAATAAAATGACCATCATAATATAGTAAGTCACACAAACTTTTTCATTTCCCAGTGCACATAGAAGTTGGTTACACTATACTGTCATCTGTTAGGGGAGTCCCAGTAATACAGGCTGTCAGGTCACTAACTGAAAGGTCAATGTGGTTGGAATCCACCAGGCACTCTAGGAAAGAAAGATGCACGTCTGATCCCGTAAAGATTTATGGTCTTTGAACCCTGATGGAGGGTCACCGTGAGTCAGAGGACTCGATGGCCCTGGTGGATAGTCTGTTAAGTGTTCAGTGGCATAATGAGAAAGTTTTAAATATTCAGAGAATTACCAGATGTGACGCAGAAACACGAAGTGAGCACATACTGTTGGGGAAATGCTACCAATAGACTTGCTTGTTTCAGGGTTCCCACAACCTTCAGTTTGTTAAAGGTGGGGAGTGGGGGGCAGGGAACCGAAAACCACTTATCTGTGAAGCACAATAAAGCCGCAATTAATAAAATGATGCAGTAGATAGACTTCAGGAACAAAGCCAGGAGGGGTGGAGGGAATACTGCCTTCAGGGTTGCAAAAGTAATTTGGTAAAATGGAGTGCAAGGGGGAGTGGAGGGAGGTTGCAGAGAGTTGTGCAGAAGGTCTTCCACTGAGCCAAGGTTTCCCTCTGCTTCCAATCATTGGCGTTCTGGCTCTGCCTTTAGGGTTCCTGCCTTCTCTCCCTGCCCCCACACTTTCCCCACACACTCACAGAGCAAGCCTCCCCCTCATTTTTCTGCATGGTGTTTTTCACTGTGGTGTCATTATCTCTGGAAAATGGGAACTTGAGGTTCAAGGAAGTGAAGAAATAGTGTGATGTCACAGAAAGGCCCCCTAAAGACACAGTTCTGTGGCCTGATCCACAGGACATTCTGGGAATTTAACACTCTAACCAGTTGCTGACTTGTGGCAACCCAAAATGTCTCAGAGTAGAACTGTGCTCTGTATCATTTTCAAGGACTGACTTTAAATCAATATATTGCCAGGCCTTTATTCTGAGTTACCTCTGGTTAGACTCACCCTGCCAACCTTTTGGTTAATAGTCAAGCACTAGGCCATTTGCACCATCATAGGCATGCCAGTGCTCCGAGGACAGTGTAAGCAGCAGGTACTCAGGGTCTGGAGCCCCTGGGAGCTCTAGAGTTGAGACCCGTCAGCTTTCTTGGTAGTTGTGACCCTGCAGCCCTCTCTCTGTGTGACTTCAGCGTATGCCTCAGAGCTGACTGGGGATCCTGCTGTGTGCAGCAGCCAACCAGGACCCAATACCTCCCAAACCCCAGGGCCTGGGCTGCTCACCAGCTGGCGCTGGAACCTGCTGAATATTTCAGGGTGGAAAGTACCTTCTCTGCTGTCCACTCCTCTGCCCCCTCCCCTTGCTCCTAGATGCCTGAGGCCAAGAACCTGCTGCCGGATTGCACAGGACATGCATTACACAGGTGACGCTGAGACACTCATATTTATGTGGGAAGGAATGACAGTGGGAATACTGGGCTGGGTAATGTTAGGACTGCCCCTGTGTCTAAAGTCCGCAGTGCTAAGACATCCCATCCCACCACTACCCCTGGATGCAGCCTGGGGTCCCAGGATAACTAATCTGGCAGAGTTGGGGTCTGTTTCTCCCAATTAATCTTTTATCAGCTGGAGATTTTATTATCTGTTTTCTCTGTACATGAAGAACAGAATTTCATATGAGATAGGCATCACTGCTCGCTAAGCTTGCCTTTCTAAGTGAATGTTTTTATCCACGTAGGTCATTAACTTCTTTACTTCTGGTAAGCACTGCTTTATCGTCTGCCAACTTCAGACCCTTCCCAAAACACCGCCTCCTCCTGCCCCATGAGGGAGAGATGTGTGGCATTGGGGCCAGAGAGAAAAGAGGATCATTAGCTTGCTGCTGAAATATTCACCCTTTGTCCCGGGGAACTTCCGTCTTCCCTTTCCCTTCTGTTAACTCATGG